ACCAGTCTACCACGTCAATAGTCTTGAAAGTCCCAATCTCCCTGCACCCACCTACTCCTACAAATGACTATGGCTTTAATCACTTATGTGACGATCATCGGGGTAAGGAAAATATCGAATATCTGTCGACATTTGTACACTCCGCACTCGAGAAGTAAGGGAGAAGGGACCTGGCTGCTAACTGGTTGACGGGATGTTTTCATTTTGGGGCAAATGTGGTCATGCCTCTTCCCACAACAAGAAAGGAGGACAGTTGTCTCAGTTGGAATAAATGCAACGAACAACGCCATGTTCAAATGAAGCATGAGCCGCACCCTCCTGTCTACTCTCCATCACCGCGATATGGAGCGTATACGGTGTATGTGTGCACTTCACATCCCTGAAACGCGATAAACGTGACGTTTACAACTGGTACCAAAAGAAAATGTCGCACTAGAGCGCTTCATTAAATGAAGAACGTAGCCATGTCCACCGCGTCTCATGAGGAGAGGAGAAATTCAAGGAATTCTATACACGGAGGAGTCCGTACAGTACACCACTTCGATACAACCTCCCCTGAAAGGGGGTCGTAGCGGTCTGGTGAAAGGGGTTGCTTTATGGAATAGTGGAGGAATTCTCGTTGAAATGTAAATAATCAGTTTATTTCACCTTTGCCGAGGTAGTGCATTCGGATGAACAACCACCTTCATCCGTACCATGGTGAACGTTCTACCACCCAACCCAATCGACAGGATTTTTTTGAAAAATTGGGGGTGAATTCAGGTGAACTGATAGTGAATGCAATTTATTTTCAATTTTCGGTTGAAGGAGATCGCACTCACGGGAGGGTAGAGAGGAGAGTCGCGCAGCACCTGCAATTTTAGCCATCTCGATGACGTGCCTGGCATGGGTCATGCTGAACACGCTTGAAATTTTCATTTCCGTAAATTCTCTGCTTGAGAACACAGTTGGCAGAAAAATGGGAAAAAATGAGTAAGGTGAAGGGGACGAAATGGAGGTGAGCAGGGCGTGCACCGAGATGACGAGCAGGAATCCAGAAGCTACATCTCGGTCCCAGAGCAGTCCAGAGTTCGGAGAAAATGGGTGAGAAGGGGCAATGGATGAAAAGGAGACACACTTGTAGTGGGCAGAAGCCTGTGCCGCTGAGCTAACAAGGAAAGGATGGTTGGTCGAAGTGGCCATTTAAGACAAGATGCATACACACTGATGCGTCTTCGGACGCTGATTTCAAATCTGCTTTCCATATCTGCTAAACGATTCTCTGAGCAGAGATATGCAGGAGGTTGTTGTACGGAGCACAATTGAGCTTGGCACACAAAAGAAACGTGACTCGTCACACGGAGTGCCTCGGTGGCCTAGTGGGTAGTATGCCGCGCTCAAGTATGCGAGGTGAGAGGTTCGAATTCCTACATGGATCGTCATTTTTGCATTTTCTCGAAAATGCCTCCTGGACATCCGGAAAGCACTTCTGCGAGGCTAGGAGACCTGATTCTACCAAGAAATTCTATTTCTGATGTGATAGAGCCATTCTGGAACACTTCTAGTGGAAACTCCTAATTGTTGGTTTCGGCGGCATTATTCGTTCCGTCGTGTTGTGAGGCCAAACTGATTCCAGATGGCATGGAAGCCAAAAGTGGATGTCGGGGTTGTTATCAGGGACGTCAGTAACCTACAAGGACCAAGATTTAGCGAGGAACCTCCACTGCTCACAGAGATTTGAATCGGCGATAGTGCCAGCAACCTTTAGGAATTGGCTGCCTATGGTTACCCCACTGTATCGAAAATAGGTCGAAATCTCAAATTTGGTTGAAAACTTGTCTCTAGGGCTAATTTGAGCCCCAGAACACGAATATCACACTCGTTCGGCGTAAAAACGCTTGCCAAGGACGTTGCAGGTTCCTGCACACCCTGCCCCTCCAGAATGCGTACAAGACGTTTTCACGAAATATAACTGCAGTGTTGATTCCTAGGGCATCAAAGCACCTCTAATTCCAGATTCCAGCCAATTTGGGCAATTTGGAGCACCTCATATACATGCTGGAAATGGGTGTGACCTGGTCAAAAATCCTGCATAACTTTGTCCAGGAAATCGTTTAGCAGATATGGAGGGCAGATTTGTAATCAGCGTCCAAGGGCCCATCGGGCAGTATACGTCTCATTTCGAATGGCCACTTCGACCAACCATCCTTTCCTTGTAAGCAGAATTCAAATTTTAGTTCCAAGGACCCTAGAGATAGTGAATGAAAAAGTAGATCCGTACATTGGCTTTCTCAGTGGAGTTGAATTTGGTGATCATGCGTATCGTACGCAGTTCAGTAACGATGTCCATAGTACTTCGATTGTTGTATTGTGGCCAGTATTTGAACACCCATGACGGCTGTTTCTCTGTCATCCCATGAAGTAACTGAAAAAATAGGAACCATTAGATGGGAATCTCTGGCCCAGACTTATGGCAATTCTCGGCTCACTTCTCGTTGAATATCATAAATCTTGTTGATATTTTGATAAGAGAAATTAGCGATTCCAGTTTGTTCTCCAAGCACTTGGAACATCTCCGAATACTGTGCGTTATACACTTTTGCCTGATCATTGTCCTCAGCCGCAACCAAGTCGTCATACTTCTTGCACGGTGTACCTGTCGGCTTTACCAGCTGAAAAGGAGATCTTCAAATTCTGCGGAAGAAATTCCAAAATGTGACTTCTAGCAATTTTTTCTCAGTAGCATGTTTACTTTTTCTCAGTTCGATGGTCAATCGCTAACCCTCATTTCCTACTGTCTGTTCGCCTACTCATTTGAGTGAGCTGTACATTCCGAAACTAATGCGATTCTTCCTGACCATTTCGCTATAGACAAAGCTCAGTTTCAGGACAAACTGTGCATTCACCTTCGTAGATCCTGGCCATTACCTGAGGGAGGTGATTTTGTCTGCAGCTGCAGTAACGTGGCAAGTTCGCCTCTCAACCCGGGTGCCGTCAGGGAGTTCGCCCGCCCTGCCCAGCCACATACACAACCATATCCGAACGCGCTACTTGTTTGCGCCCCTTTACTTCTGCTTGTTTTCTACCTCTGAGTGCGTTTTTCGCGGCAAAATTACGGTACCGGCGCAAGTGCTGAGATGGCGGTGTACTCCCAGATTGCATGGGCGGTTATCGTTCCCTTCAGCCTCCTTCCGTGCAGTTTTTAGTGCTAAGTTGTACAGTAGCTAATCCTTTGTTCTCGTGCATGTGCCGTACTCGGAGGTGAGCGTACAGTTGGTCTTTAGAGATGACGGATCGCGCAACAGATAAAACCTCTGACACTCAGCCACTCCAGTGTTTTCATGAAAATGAGAAATGTTTGAACTGAATACCGTTTTTCTTCTGATATTTGAGCTTTCGGGAGGTTTACCTACTGCAGAAAGCGGTATCTTACAAGATCTGGCTCGTTTGGCGTAGTTGCGTGGATTGGAATCGGCTGCCATGTTTCTCCTGATCGCCATTCGAAAGTGCCATTGGCTGGGTAGAAGCCGGATATGAACGCTTGTGCAGATGTCAGCGCTCGATCCGAATCCGATGATCGTATGTACACCTGAAGGAGAGTGTTAAAACCAAAACTGTGACAGATACGTGGATTTGATTAGTGCTGCCGCTTTAGTGGCACTCCATTGTAAATAGACAGTACTTCACTTGGATTGTAGACAGTAGAAACGAAAAAGTTGTAGGTGTTTCGGAAATAGTTGCCGAGTTCGTTAAGCTGATTCATGCCAATCTGAAATTACTGATGCCTTGAATGTAAAGTCGTAAAATTACGCCCAACTCACGTTAGTTAGCTGTGCCCATCCTCGTTGCCATGCGCTTTCTGTGTAAGGGTCTTTGGGATAGGGTAGTTTGAGTGGCGCTCGGTCACCATGCCGCCAGATCGCTTGAACATATACGAGTTCCTTTGCAGCTACTAATGATACTAAGTTGTGGAAAGAGAATATGGTCAGGAGTAGCGGCAACCACCGAGGCTTCATTCTGAAATACAGTGACGTAAGTGGACTGGAAACCTTTTCAGGATAATGAATAAACGAACTTCGGAGTGGATACTTTCTCTACCTCACGGGTCAAGCAAAAAAGACAAAATACACATCAGAGAATCAAATGCTAGTATGACGTTGCTAGAAGGAAAAGTGGGTGAGGGCAGAGGCAATGAATCTAATTTGTAATGTTCCAAATGTTCGGATCATACGTTGCCCAGCTCTGCGGGAAATCAGAGTTTTCCTTTGCAGATAGTGGTAATACTAGGCTGCACAGAACAACAATACGGTATCAAATGTTGACTCTCATCGAATTGTCAGACATTTGCGGGATGCACTTGCGATTTGGGGTGGAATTTCAATGCGTGGCGCAGCCCAGCGAGAATGATCGAGGCCGAAAATTGAGCTCCTGTTCGCGCACACTTCTCTTTGTCAGAATGATTGAAAAATAAGGAACAAGAAAACTTCAAGTTCTTTTTAATGTGAG